TCACATTGAAAAGCTCACGCAGAAATAAATGTGTATTTATTCAGAGCAAGGCTTCAGCATCGTGCAGTAAATAAATGCAGAGAGGTACAGTCTGTCAGGTGGAGCAAACCAGAACAGTGTCTCCTTTGGCCAGCTCTGTCCAGCCTGGGAACTGAACTGGAAAGAATGCCGTGTTATCTTGTGTTTGAAGGCTGCTCCGTAAAGCAGGTACAGATTGAGTCACGGTTGTGCGGGCCATGAAACCTTTTCTCTACAACAGGGAAACAGGATATAGCAAATCTTCTAAATATTACCATGTAAGTACTTTGAAATATTTGTATGGTCAGCATGCATTTCAAGCATGGTTTTGTTTTCCCTTCGTTTCTCTCCAGTACTTAAAGGCGGGGAGGGGAGCGCTGTGATAAACCTGCCACCTTCTGAGCATTTTTCCTCCAGAAGCCCTATAGCAGCGCTTGTGTATGCTTTTGCAAAGACATCCCTTCCACATATCATACCTTGTTTAAAAAGCTATGAAATTAGATGCTAAAGGTATTATTTTAAAGTTATAAGACTGTCAAAATCAACTGTGTATTTGTTGACGTAAGCTTAACAAAGTGGGTAACCTGTTCCAGATCTCAGATTGTTATTCTTTAAGAAAATGAACAATTAAGCCTTACTGATTCATTGCAGTTTTTTAGTTGTTAATGAATCAGGATTTTGACTTTAAGACAACTATGTTTTGGATATATGTATGCATTAAATGCTAAGTCAAGAGAAGCAAATTTGTGTGTTACTTCTCAAGAGTTTCTTATATTTCAAAAAGAGAGCAACTTCAACTATTTATAAACTGTAATTAAGTTTCTTTACAACATGACTCATTCTCAACAAGCAAGTCCTTTTTCTTTTGCTTTCTTATGAACTGTGTGGGAAAATTAGGGTTCAATCGCTGAAGAATTTACTCAATGCTTAATTACCCAAAACAGCCCTCCAAGTTCTGCTCATGTAGAGCTTTCGTAAAGACATGATTTTCCCCACACTATGACTGTCTAAAACTTGACTTTTAAAAACTGATCTGTGAATTGAACATGGGAGAAAGCAGTGTTTTACTATGGTATTGGCTTCTTTCTCCAGTCTGCTTCTTTGAACTCCTCTTACATTAACAGTGTGATGCTTAGGAAAACCAAAGTAAGAAATCATCAGGATTAAATTATTTTGAGCATGAAACTGAATTAGAAAGCTTTACTTTCCTGAATGAGCTAATTGTTTAAATTTTCCAAAGGAAATGTTTCTATTTCTGTGAGAGAAGGGATAAATGGGACTTCCTCTGACATAATTTTCATTTTAAATCTGAGTTTGACAGCAAGATTTTTACCTTCAGAACCAAATATTACTGCTTAACTGCGTGACTTGTATAAGCTTGCTAGTTGAAGTGACTCACTTACGTAGATGAAGTTATTTTTAGGGAGATAATTTGCACTGTTTAGAAGAGAGGCAAAAAGGGAGAGAGAGTCCTACTAAGAGCTAGATCCCTCATTATAGTTTACAGAGCTCATGAACCCAGCATCCAAGCAAAAGATGACTAAGCAAGGGGTCTATTGGTACTTTCAGGAATTTACAGACATGAGTCATCTGCTTGTTTAATGCAGACATATCGCCAGGGTACTTTGTGAGTCAGCTGTTATTTGGAAATAGTACTTGTATTCAAGATGAATACGTTTTTGTAGCTCTTAGGTAACTAGCATGCCAAACCAAAGCGGGCTTTTATAGTTTGCCCAGTTCAGGTGTTGATTTACAAAAGCGATACGTTGTTTTTAACCGTGATGCATTTTTCATGACAAAGTGTAAATGTCGTCTGGGATGTAATTATGATAACGCTTACCTTTGCCACCTTCTGTATCGCGTGAAGGCAGATCTGATTTTGTATTAATGCACAGATTGAGAGTCAGATTGCCTATAGGACCAGGTAAAAAGAAAAATTATCAACTTATGTGACTGTGAGCAGAATTTGACCTTTTATCTTCAGAGCACCGTGCTAACATTGATTACCAATGGTATCTGCTTATTTTTCACATACGATAAAATGCTTCACCCCAAATCGAAGCATTTTGTGCACTCACAATGTCAATGGACGGGCATCGACTGCAACGGAAGCGAGTTCTTGCCTTCCCTTCCTACTGCTGAAATAATTGCTGGCTACCTTGAGATATGTGTAACACTTTACAACTCAAGGCTGTTTCCTGTTTACTCGTCTTTTAGGTGTGGTTGTGTTCCAGAATTAGGGACAGGTTTTTTCACTTGGACTGGGCTCATCTCACACCTTGTATTAAGGAAACACTTGGGTTAGAAAAATGGGAGTTTGGCAATTTTAGGTGAAGGGTAATGTTAGAAATGAAAGGCAGGTCAAATTTTTCAAAGCTCTACTTGCAGTTCAGGATGATGCTGCTGTTGGCCAGATGTGGGATCCACAATTTTGTGTCTAATTTGTTAATCTGATTTAACAGTTTGTAATGTAAGTAATTCCTGAAAATTCCTGTACAGGTTTAGGTTAATAAAAGAAGAAAATGTTTTCTGTTATATTTTGGTAATATCAGTGTTGGAAAATATTTTTTATAAAAGAAAGGTCTCTCGTAATAAATAGAAGCGTCTCTGAAGTGGTAGCAATGTCTTAATTATCCATTTAAACAGCGTTTCTAGTGCTAGATGCTTTTTCTTAAGTGCAAACCTTTAGTTTTAGGTCACAAGAAAACCACTGCTGCTTGCCTCTGTTATATAGACAGATGTTTTCAAAGGAAACTTGCTGAAAGTCATAAATTCTCAAGTAAAAAGTTAAATGTAAGGACTGAACTATTACTCGAGTGTTTTGCTAAAGTTTGTTATTCCTTTCACACTGTGATAAAACACACAAGTATACAGAATAGTTTTCCTTTAAGGAGTTGGTACTTAAAAAGGAAAAAGATGCACTAGAGGAACAGAGTTTAAGCATTCAGAGCTGAAGAAGTATGTTTATAATGTTAACATGGAAAGCCTGTCTCCTTGCTTCATACTCTTCCACACTGAAGTCCGTCAGAGGCTGTGGCGTACACGTACCATCTGCGAGGGAAGGAGATAGCTTGCTTGCTGATAAATGGCCTCAATACACCAATGTTTTTCAGGGTTGTTATTTAATAATCATGTAATAAAGAGGAACTTGACAGAGCAATCTTTGAGTCTAACCTTTGTTACAGCAGTGATCTGCCCTCAAATTAGCAGAACTCTGCCCATGTCATTACCACTTAAATGTCTGCTGGAAGCTGCTGTGTGAGCTGAGTCACCAGGACTCCGGGAGTTATCACGTGTAGCTCAGACACTGGGTCATGAACTGGGCAAACGCTATCGTCCACAGTGATTAGCTGTATTTTGAGACTGCTGCTGAAATATCACATTCAGTTTTGTGTACTTCGTGCCTACAAATGTTTTACTCATAGAGTTTGGAGGGTAATTTAGGGAAGAAGGAGCTATGGTTTCGCTGGTGCTCATCCAAGTATTCAGATACGATTATAAAAACTGAAAAACGAAGGGACTAGCAGGATGATAGCATGGGATTTAGAATAGTAAAACTTGTCTTACAGTGATATCTCAGTGTATGAGCAGAGATTTCAAAGGAAGTGCTGGAATCCCTGCTCCATGTAGTATTTAAAAGTAGAAAACATAGTGCGTTACCAGGTGTGCAGGAAGGGAGATCCTGTTCCACCTGAGAATGGGTTTAGTCCTGTAGCGTTCCTTTTGCTTTCTTGAAATTCTGTTGATACTGATTTTGCCACCTGCTTTGATTCTTACTCCAGCTATTACAGTCTGTTTATTAATGTAGGAATCTTTCCTTCTCTGGAAAAAGGACTCTGAAGTGACAAAGAGAGAATACTGAGAACCCAGGCTTATATGAATGAATTACAATCTTATTATTTCACTCATTGCTACACCAGTAGGAAAAATTATTTAGGATTTACAGGGAGTTACTATTCCATTGTAGTGTGCTTTCATTGTGCAGAATTGAAGAATTGTAGTTTGAAGGATAACAAAAAGTACAGTTGCAGGTGCTTTATAAATTAAGTCAACACCTTTAAAAGAAATGCACATTCTTCTGTTAATTTTAGTGTTAGACATGTCATGTAAATAATTCAAGTCTGTTGTTGTAACTCAATTTAACTACATGTTTCTGAAGCCTCTTGAAATTAAAAGTAGACCAAAAAGATCTAAACTATAAATCTAGCAATGAAAAAGTTAAGTTAAAAGCCACTTTCTGGCTATATTATTAACTGTTGTAGACTATTTTATTGTTCTGCCAGACCTAGCTGATCACGAGACAGTGATAAGCAAAGGGAACTAAGAGGTTCTGATTTTTATTTTTAGTGAGATATTCTGGGTATTAATGACTTTGCAGTGTGTTTTTGGTTTTGTGGGGTTTTTTAGTCTAGCAGATGACGGCGAGTTGAGGTCTTTTCCAGCTCATGTGACTGAGTCTTTCTACGTCCTTTATCAAATCATTTAACCACTTTAGGTCTCAGACAGCTGGAAAATGAGAATGATAGTGGTTTTGATGTCCATGGGGGCACTAAAATTAATTAAAGCAGATAAAGAGAAATTTGTTTCTTGAAAGGAAAGCATAAACAGAATGTATTTTGTGTATTTTTGAAAGGGAAAATTTCACTATAAGGAAAATAACTTATTATTTTCTGTAACAAAATAATCATGGTGTAAATGTTACGATTAACATAGAAATACACTATCTAAGCAGTTTTTATAATTATGTACTTCACAAAAATATTTTCATCAGGCAAAGTGTCCCATACAGCAATGTGTTGGAATCATTACTTACAAGAAATACAGACGTATATTTTAGCAGTAATCATCGATTTCTCCTTTTCTGTCACCTTTAAATCAATAGAAAGGATTTACATATTCCCAGTAAGAAAAAGGAAAAAAATGCAATGGTGTGTTTTTATGACTCTTCTGATTTTCTTTTTTTTTTTCTTTTTAAATTTCAGTTGACCTACCCCTGTATTTTCCTCGAGACCAACCGACCCTAACGTTTCAGTCTGTCTACCACTTCACTAACAGTGGCCAGCTGTACTCCCAGGCCCAAAAGAATTACCCTTACAGCCCCCGCTGGGATGGCAATGAAATGGCCAAGAGAGCAAAGTAAGTCAGATTGCTGTTTCCTACAAAATACTCCATTTGTTACACGGAATGTCATGGATTTAACTGTACATTTCCAGTGTTACAAAAGCTGAAGCTGTTTTTGTTCTCATGTAGCCTACCGTTCCCATATATGAGTATAGACAGATACTTTATTAAATCATGCTTACTGCATTAGTGCCAGAGTACTGATCAAAAGAAGATTCTTTCTGCTAGACGTTGTGTGAGCGCAGAGTGGTGACAATCTCTGCTCCAAAGAGCTTCGGATCTAAACAGACAAGATAGCCTCCAGCAGGAGTAATCTGCATGGTAGCAGTCAGTCAAGGTAACTCCGTGGTTTTGTGTGGGTGTTGAGGGGGCCCTGAAGGGAAGCATGTGAGATGGAGAGAGCAAGGAAGAAAAACCTGAAAGATATGGAAGGCTGTAAAAAAAAAAAAAAAAGGTACAGCAGACCACCAATGCAGTATAGGAGGCAATCCTATCAGAACTTGAGAAGGTTCTCTGAAAGTCTGAATGTCCCTTTTTTTTTTTTTTAACAGTTTTTTGCTGTTGGCTAAAACCAGAGGATCTCGGACCGTTTCTTCTGTGGTTTTTCTCCAAGCCCTTGTTTCATGTTGAGGAGACACCACTTCAGTCTGAGTATCCCCTTTAGTAAAAGATGACAGGACATCCTCGCCAGAGTGGTTCTATTGGAAGGGCAAGCTGCCGTGGGCAGTGGTGCCTCTTTTGTGTGCTAGATATCATCCCTGTCTTCTAATGAAGCAAAACAGATTTTACCTGAAGGGAGCAATATGGGCAACGGCCTTGCTGCAGTATTTCAGTTTTGCAAGGTGTAAAAATGTTATAACAGCAAGATATTTAAGCAGGCGGATTATCAGTTGTTCAGCACGAAGGCATCAAACTGCGTAAATAACAAGGCATATTGGGATGAACGTTTTAAATGACAATCAGAAGATTAAATTGAATTAGAAAAGATGCATAAATAAGAGTCAAATGAAAATAGTTGAAGCTGAGTAAATCAAATGAATGGCATGGTCAGAGACTGATTGTAATTTGGAAATGATGGAAGCAAACAACAGTTGACTGAAGCATTTGCAGATTTTATACTAATTTAAATTTTGTGGAGAACATCAAGTAACATTTGATTTAGGATTTTGACGCATTGTTATAGAAATTTTTTGCTAGTATTTGGTTTTACTACTGTACTGTCTAGGAGAGCCATTTCTTGATGAAATATATATTTTTTTTTGTGGACTTGTTGCTTTTCTCTAGCAGATTATGACTATTGTGTTTGGGTTTTTTTAGAAAAAGAAATAGTAACTGGAAGCATTACTGTGGCTTTTTTTTATGACTGTAATACAAAAGGCATTTCTTTTGCAGCTGGAAGCTTACAAGTACCTATGTGCTGTCTGCTAAGTGCATTCATTTATGAGGGTGTATACAAATGGACTTCTCTGCCCTGCACTTGAAATTTATAAGTATTGTAACAATTCTTTTAAAAAGCGCTAAATATGTATACTTACTATCACGTGTACGTTTCGTGAGGTTATTCACTTCTATGTTTGAGCCTTTATGTTTAAGTTTTACACTGGATACGTAATATGAGAAAGATGATGAGAAGCGGGGGAAGAAAGTATGCTGCAATGTCTGAAATAACTATCATTGAGCTGCAAAGAGACAGAGAAGCTGCTCTAGTTAAAAGCGCTTTGCTTGCAGGAACAACTAGCGATTCCTGAGTGGGCGCCATAAATAAATCTGTATCAAGAGAAGTATGATGTTATGATACGCGTTAAGATATTTTAAGAAAGATTTTTAACACAATTGAGTACTTTATGTAAACTGTTTAAAATATTTAGTAGGCCTTCTTAGAATAGGTTAGTGTGTTTCAACACAACCAAATGAATTTTCATTCTACTTTGTTTTTACTGTAGCCACATTATGGACCAATTATATGGGAATATATAGAGATATATATGAAAGCATTCTAATGAAATATATTAGTTCAAGCACCACGTCAAAACATCCTAAATAAAAACAAGGAAAGAAGAATACATGATTTAACTTCTAGAAGCAAGATAATTCTGCTCAGCTGAAGTAAATTTAGCCCTGGATAAATCAGAGACAACTTGTTTGTGTTTCTGAATAGTGTCTATTAGGTTTTGCTTACATGTAGTCTTTTTCCTTTTTAGCCAAATGGTCTCCCAAGTGCTTGGCATCCTTTGAGGCAAAACAACTGTGTTTATCTTTCTGGCCCTACTGTTCTAGAGCTGCAGGATCTCCCACTTGACATTCTGGTAACTGACCAAATTCTCTGCCCTATTCTCAGACACCAGAGGGATCAGTTTACACCATCTTCCTCACTGTGGTGGCTTAAGACACCATCAAGGACAGCTTTTGCTTGCTCTCACGCCAACTGGGGTTAGTTAGCTGTCCAGTCCTGTATTGAATGGACCATGTATACCGCATTGCTTTATAGGATGTAGAAGCACCACCAAGTTTGAAATACCATCACTCAGAGATTTCCTCATCCTCAATTTTGGCAAGCTCTGCCTCTGTTTTCAGCAACTCAACACAGCCTGCTTATTCATGGGCAGAGCTGTCATAAGTTCGTGCCAAAGGGACTTTGATTCTGTGCCCAGACTTCTCCCAGGGTTATTTTTTTAGGTTGTTTTCAAACAGGTGAGCCCATCCAATTTCGTCAACTCAGGGACTAAACTTGAAAGTCTTGGTATCCTTGCTTATCTTTGTGGCCCACAGCAGAGGTAGACATCTCTTTTGAAGTTAGGGCTTAACCCTTTGCTGTAGCCTTGAGACAATCAGTAGTAATAACAAGTAGGAGCAAAATTACTCCCCTAAAATACATACATGTAGAAGTAGATTGTGTGCATTCACACTTAGACACATATCACCTAAATCTAAAAGGCAAATTCTTGAATCAGAGTATCAGTTTAACAGGGTTTTTTTCATTCACAGAGAAAGACTGCTTGTGTTCTTGCTGAAGTAGTTGGACCAATTTATGCCTGTCTGATAAAGTCCACGAAATCGAGTTTCTCTTTCTCTGTGTCCTCTTAAGCAATTCTTAAAATCACCTGGCTCCTTTGAGGCCCACTGACTTAGATTCCTCTCTGAGAGATAGCATCTGGTAGTTGAAGGTTGCTATTGTTTTAGCCAGGGATTGACCCCAACTTGATTTAATTCTAAAGGATGAATCAAGTCCTGATTAATGTGAATCAAGCCCTAAATAATGTGATTCTAAATGCCCCCAGACTGCTTGTTTCTCAACTAAACACAAAAATTTAACCTGTTCCTCCAGCTAGAAACAGGGGAACCAAAAATATTAACATTTTCTTACAAGCTGCCAAGATGCCGTTTCCTCTCAGTTCACACATCTCAGGCTTTGCCTCTCTTAGGTCATTTATTTATATGTCTGTGGCCTCCTGCGTAAGCAGCTTCTCCAAAAGATTTGGTCCTAAAATACAATAGCAAGTCTAAGAAAATACAGTAAATTATAGAAAGTTTGCAGCCTTGTTTGTGGTGTACGTGTGAAGTAAAACATCTCTGTGCGGTTTCCATGGGAAAGCTCTCTTGTTTTTTTCTTAAATAGGCATTCAAGTGTACATAAATGGAGTCTTTAAAGACCATGCAGACTCTAAGCCTGGGATTTTATGAAGGAATACTGTAAATAAAGCTTGTTTGTTTATACAGATTAAGTTCAGTTCTTAGATGCGCTCTGGCCCAATTCCTCTCCGACCCAGTCCTGCTCTTTAGACTTAGGTTATACTTTAGGGAGAGCAAGTCAGGACTCAGTTTACTCTTTTATCCTACATAAACCCCCCTACTCATCATTAAAAATAGCAGGAGGATGGAAAACTGGTATCACAATAAAAAGTTGTTCCGAGGATCCGTATTCTTTTATCAAGGTGACTGATAAAACTGATTTCTGAGTAACATTGTTGTCCCTGGCCATTCATCGGTGTTTGCTGAATGTGGTGTTAACTTTACGTATCCCTCAGGGCTCTGTAAAGGTGAAAGCTTAAAAAGGGCTCAGATGCTCTCAACTGTATATTGGCTGTTGCTCTGCCATAAGGTCAAGTGCATCTTAAGCTTTATGCAGATAAATCTTGTGCGAGGTACGTATGTATCACCAGCGTGGCTGCGGATAGGGTTGGTGCTCAGCGCATGAGCACTGCAGTTAGAAAGTGTCAGGCTGGTGCACGGGGCCGTAGCATTTTCAGCCTCATCAGCACCTTCTCCTTGAGTACCATCAAATTAGCAGATATGTATCACGTGAAGATGCTAGTTGCTATTTGGTTGAAATGGTTGCTTTGAGCTTTTATGTTGCCTGGTAAGGAGAGGAAGTGCAGCTTTTGGCCTAATTAAAGGATATTTGAAAAAAACGGTGACAATTGTTGTGGTGCTGTTTAGACAAACTCAGTTGTCATATGTCAGACACTTGCTGTTGTATTCAGTATATTTTGAGTGCCCTAATGATTTTTTTTTTATGTTGACATAACTAGTTTTTCAATTCATCCGTTTTTTATTATTAAGTCAGAATTCTTTCACATTTTAGGCAGAATATCTATTACTACGTTTTGGATTCTTTAAAAGTAACAAATTTCTCTATTTCCTTGAAATTTTTTCCAAGTTTCTCTATTTCTTTGAAATTTTCCACCTGTGCTACCTTGAGTCTCACTACAAAATTTACACGTAAACATGGCACCTTTTTTATATTCTTCTCTCCTTGATAGATATAATTAAGGTAATTAATCATTTGTTATTATTTGCTTTGTGTTTCAGTATTTCTCCTGTTTATTCATAAAAGTAGCAAATTGTATTGACATGTATTATGTGATTGTTTCATGCACATTAGGCACCTTTAAAGACTAGATTTCTAAAAATTAACTTGTTTGCCTTTACCTCTACTCTCCTCGCAAAGCTTTTTCCCTGACTGTCTTTGGCTCTGTTGCGCGTTACCTTAAACTTAAAAAGAAATTTAGAAATAC